TTATTGGTTTAATAGTAATAATAAAAATAATAATAGAAACATTTGAATATTATACTTTTAAATTGTATTCCAGTATACTTAATACTTGACATTGGTATTTTATATTACTAAAAACATTTTTTTCTTGATTTTTTTGAAGCGAAAGTTTCCAAAAGATTTTGGTAGTCAATGTTGTTAGAGATTTCTTGTTCGATAGATATAAGGGCAAGGTCTGAAAGTTTATCTTGACTTAATTTATTTCGCAGGTATGTTTTGATTAATTTAAGCTTCGAAAAACTTCTTTCGGCACAAGCTGATGTAACTGGTATCGTTAACATGATTCTTAAAGCAATAGATTTGTTAGGAAATGAACCATTCGTCTTTTTTAAAATACTAAGAGCTTTAAGTGGAGTTGTATTGTCATCAATCATCATACGAAAAATAAGTAGTTCTGAACATAAGTCAAGTCCTTCCAAATCATTCTGATCACCATCGGATAATACTAAGTGTAAATCTTTACAATATTTTCGTAGCTCATCCTCTTCCATAGTTTTTACTTTGCCTATTTGATATAAAAATCCAAAGTTATTCGAATACGATTCTAACTGGTCAAAACGTCTATTTATAGATTCTATTGCTTGATTAATAACAACTAGAAAATAATCAATACGAAAACGATCTTCCTCATTTAAAATTGGTTCATCGTTATGTTCATAACTGAACATCTTTTTTTTCTTTCTTATACGACAACACTTAAAAATAACTGGAATATCTATTTCTGAAGCTAGTTTATTTGCTATATTCTTTGCAGAATCAAATCCTGTTATTCTATATTGTTTCAAATGTTCTAAAAGACCGTATACCATTTTTGTAGAAATACTGATTTCCATATTCTGGGACTGAAGACTCTTACTTACAATATTCACCTTTTCTAAAATATCATACCAAATAACAAGACTAAGAATAAATTCATAACTGCTTATTTCGTTTAATAATGAATTAGCTTCACTTTTAGCCATTAAATCATTTGCCGTTTCATATACTTCTTCTAAAGCTTCTATTATACGCGGGAATTGTAATCGTAATGCTTTCACGCTGTTCAGTCGACTTTCCCATCTTGTATCAGACCATTGTTTAACAGTAAATAACTTGCAGTGTTTTTGAATTATACTCCAACGATTTGTTGACGCCGAAAATAAGGTGTAAACACGACGTACTGTACCAAAAAATGAAATTGCTCTTGGAGAATTTTGTGCCGCATCGCAAAGAACTAAATTTAAACTGTGAGCCTCACAAGGTGTAAAAAAGGCTCTGGGATTTATATTTGAAATACGTGCCTGCACTCCTTGGTATTTTCCAACCATATTTGACCCGTTGTCATATGCTTGACCTCTACAGTCTCCAATATTTATATTATATAATTCTAATTGTTTAATTAGAATTCCAGATAAATTTAATCCAGTAGTAGAATTAACGTTTACGAAGTCAAGAAAATATTCTTGTATAGTTGGATCAGATTCATTGCTTTCTCCCATGTTTACTATGCGTGTGAGAATCGAAAGTTGCTCTTGATGTCCAATATCTGGTGTACAATCCATTACGACAGTGAAATACTTTGCAACCTTTATCAAACTTATTATTTTTCGTCTTATTTCACTCGCCATAATTTGAATTAGTTCGTCTTGTATATCATGGCTTAAATAATGTACACGAGTTTCTTCGTCTTTTATCCGTCTTAAATGTTCCTCCATTATCGGATCAAATTTTGCCAGCATTTCAATGATACCAAGAAATTGCCCGTTCCCTTTGGCGTATAAAACATCTGTTGTACCTCTAAAGGAATCATTATGTATGGCTAAATAGTGAATGATTGATAAGATTCGGTTCAATACATTTTTCCAATGAATTTTTTCTCTTTCCATTACAGTTACTTCTAGTTGGTTAATTGTTTTTTCTTTGGATATTCTTTTATTCAGTTCCATCCAGGCTTCCACGGACTTATAATGTGAAATGGATCTTTCATGGGTTTTAAGTTTTTCAGATAAGTGTCTCCAGTCATTGGCAATTGTGGTATCGGCTATTGTAAATGATGGAAAATCTAGTGAAACATATAGAGAATTTGAAGCAGTACGCCTCATGAAATCAGGTATAATATTATTTATTAGGTACCTACACCTACATGGCATAATACCTGGTAAAAATGTATTTAATTTAATTGGTAGCTTAATTTTATTTTCTAACTTTCCACTAATAATGAGTCTTTAAGTAGTTTGAAAGATGTAATGAATATAATTTTAGTACTGATACATATTAGACACAAGACTTAGGCACATATTATTTATCTATTAATTATCTTTGAGTTGTCTGCTACAATAACTAATAATATTTTTTTTTAAATAATAATTTTAGGCCATAGAAAGAAACAAAATAGAACTTTGTCCTTTTTAGTTACTAAATAACTTACCTAATGAATTAATAAAAATTAACGTATCATAATTAATTTAATATAATTTAATGCAGTTGTGATGTTCCACCTCCAAAAGAGACGGTGTGTGATCAGTCATTAGCCCTCATATCTGCTATAGTACAATGCTTCACGCAATATTCCTCTCTTCAAGAGTACCTCAATATATGCGCTGATTTGACATTAAATCAGTTAGATTCAGACTCTCATTGGCTCCCCCAGTGTTTTGTCAGAACAGATGTTGCTCATTTTATAAAAATGATAAGCAGATGGCCACCTCTTAAAACAATATCTAGACGAGTCAAAGAAATAATTCTTAGGTTATTTGGATTATTAGTGAAAAGTCAATCTGTCGAAGAAATTTATTCTTTTGTATTGTCAACGTTTGTTGTTCTAAATAGTGAAACAGATGGAAATGATACTGAGATGGGCAGTGAAACTCCTTGTGAGCGCCATAAAAAAAGACTGATAGAAGCTACATCATCAGGATTTATTAATTTTGAAGAAGAATTTAACGAAATTTTACTTATAGCAGACAACGAAGATGAAGCACGAACTTTATTAGAGGAGGAATATGAACGACAATATGAAGGTCTTGATAACTATAACAATCCATTCAAATCCTGGGCAGAAGAAATTTCAGAAAGAAGTAAGTTATTGTTAAGAGAAGGGTCAGGAATTAATGCAATGTACGTGCCAACTTTGATTCCACATATAATTAAATGTTTAAAACTTCTACCTTTATGGTCTGGATTAATGGTGCCTATTTTTGGATATGGTGATGAAACTACGAGTTCTGCAGTTGTAGAATCCAGCTTCAAAAAACTCAAAACATGTACATTTAGAGATATTTCACTTCCTACTAATATTGAGACTTTTTTAGAGAGACATATAATTTCACTGCGTGGTACATCTCTATTAAGATCTTCAAATCAAAATGCACTATCAGACAACCTTCAATTGCATGTAAATAATAACACTGATCAAGCTGGAAATGAAACCCAAATTATAGAACATAATAATGATCTAAGTACAAGCGACAACTTCGAACCACAAATAAATAACGCTAATAGTATTCAAAGAAGAAATGAAGAAGACATAGCAGTAGAAAGTTGGAACCGTAAATCAAAAAAACAAAGGTCTACAAAATCATACCTTGTTCCTAATCCTCATTTAAGGCATTTAGATATAAACAACTCAAAAAAAATAACGTCATTACCACTATTAAAAAATGGATCTCGAGCAGAGGAACTAAAAAGTTGTGTTGTGCAGACCATTGGCAAAGTGATTATGAGCAACACTTGTGCCTTTGATACGGTTACCTCTATTATTATGGTTGCTTATTGTGACAGTGTGAAATATAGTGAAAAAGTAAATAATTTTTTGGAAAACAATAAATATTATTCATTTATATCAAAAATTGTAAAACAAGGAATTACATCATCAACTTATTCGGATAGAGCAACTATAATGGTGATTATATTTAAATACATACTTTAACATTTTTAAATTTTTTTTTCTTAAATTGATTGACTTAGGCATGCAAGGTGTAACAGGAAGACCTGATAGATAAATTAATTTATCTTCTAATCAATACCTATTTAAAAATAATTTTAATAGGCACTGAAAATAAAAAATAAAAATTTGATTTAAACTCTTTTTTTAAATCAAAATAGCTAATTTGTAAATCCGATCATAAAAAACAATTATGATGGTAAAAAGTAAAAACTTTAATTTATCTATATTTCTTTATATATATCATATATTTCCTATTTAATAACTATATAATTTTCACAATTTTGGTCATACTTTTAAGAAGCATCATTTATTTTATTTATTTATTATTTTTTTTTGTTAAGTCTTCCTGTTACACTTTGTATAATATCTCATTTTTATATCGTTGTATAATTAACATGAATATTATTGAAATGTTCACTATTATAAAAAAAAATGATTGCATCATAGATATTATAATTTTGTATGAAATTTGTGTAGTATGTTTTATATAGTCTGTAATATTTTTATATTGATTTCAGATAAATGAACTTCAACCAGCAATGGAATTTTTAGAATACGAGACCTTTTTGGCAGTTTGTGATACCACGATAGGACATGTAATTAAAAATTTATTGACTGATCTTCCATCGGCTTTGGACGTTATAAAGTGTACAAATCATATATGTAAAAAAACCACATTAACCCCTATAGCTGTACCATATATAAATATTCGAATTACAAATGGAGACATAAGTTGCCTACAACAGGATATAGATGATAGAATGAAAACTTATACTTCAATATGTGGTCATACAGAAAAAAAAAGTACACCTTGCACTGGTGACAAAACAGTGACAACTACTATACGAATGCATGTATTTATTGAGCTCCTCAATTGGATGGGTATTAATTTTATATTTATCTTATTGCTTAAAATATGGTTTTTTATTTACATTAAACATTTATTTATATAAGTAAAATCTCTTTTATTTTAGAGGAGGATGAAATAAACAGCAGTCAGCATAGCACCGAAGCAGCATCTCATCCTAAAATAAAGTTATCAGATATTCCACCTGTACTCATTATTAATGAAATAACATTTGAACAGAGAGGTGTATTTTGTTATCGACAAGGGTTAAGTAGGTTAAGAAACTCTGTAGGGCATTATTATGCTTATGGAAAACGAGGACCTAACAACTGGGAGCTGTTTGATGATATAAAAAAAAAAACAAAACCAGTAAAAAATTCAATAGTCATACCATGTGAATATTTAGTATATACAATTTGAAATATTTTTTTATTTATAATTAATTTAAAAAATTGTATTCAATAAAAAGATTTTTTTACTATGATTCAAATTTATTTTATAGCAATCTTTAACAACCTTTAGTCTATTTATTAATTCATTAAGTATATTTAATACAGAACAGTACTGTATACGTATACTGTATGCATTATATAATATAGTAAATATATAGTTAATGACACATGAAATTTTTTAATAAGTTACCAAACAAATAATATAGTACAAATTATGAAAAAGATATCACCCAAAATATAATACAGAAACAGAATACAAACAATGAACAAAAGTTGACACAACATTATTTTTAAAACAAGTAATACTAAATAAGTAATTCGTGTAACATTTTAGATGATTTTAATTTTAACTATAGTATCAATAATTTGCGTTTTCTGAATTTTTATATCTTTTTCAATCGCCATAAGCATTAAGGGTGATAAATGTTGTTGACTTATTGTTGATCTGATTTTAGACTTTACAAGTTTTAGTTTAGAAAATACCCTTTCACAGGTCATTTGAGTTGAGGGTAACAAGTGTACATATTTATAAACTGTAAATAAATTATGAAATGCGTTGGAATGAAATGAAAGTTCTTTAATTATAATATAGATAAGCACAGGCAATGCATTTATGACATTTATCACAGTCTACTCACACTGTACAGTGTGTTTATAACTGCAGGTGGATTGCCTACCTAGATGTTTAACTTGAAGGTCTATCGATTTTCATTTAATGTGACCGACTTGCTCTTAAACGTGGATTTTGGATTTACAATTATATACATACAAAAAAGCACCGGGCATACGACGTTGGACCTTATTATTCAATTGCCAATTTTCATGAGACAATGTGAGATTTCTAGACACTCAAACTCGAATTTCAAACATTACCGCCTTCGACACCACCAGGTGCCAAGTCTTATCACAAATCCTTATCACCTACTCAAATCGTCGTTTTTTAACCTACCATCATAACATGAGTGACTTTTAAATTGTATACTTAATTTTGTCTTCAGTCTCTACCACCTATTTTCAGTGTCTAACTGGCACCTAAGTTTCACGACAACAAATATCAGATGGCAGCTATAATATAAATACTTATGAAATTAAAATAAACAATTTGTATTTTTATTGTTTATGTTGTAGTTACACAATTAAGTATTAACCACAACTTAAAGTCTGCAAATATGAGTAGTAGACACAAAAACGTTATCTGGAATCCTAGACGATTTATAATCTACTAACCTATGCTCAAATACATATACAGCTAAAAATACAAATGCCACAAAAATGCACGAAATATGTTCAAATAATTTCAATTTTAGAGCTGTGATCCTGTGATTGTACTTACCTATGCATTAGAAATTAGAATGCATTAATCACCAACTTAATAATAATTTTTACCAACAATTCATTAACCGGAACGTATTATTGGTGAAATACTGACTTTTTATAAGAAGTTATTTTCTATTTCTCAATATTTCCAATAAAAACAAACCATTTATAAATGTAAAATATATATGTTTTTTTGAATATATTTCTCAGGGAAATTTTAAGGTACAAATTCTGAAAATGGTTGTACTAAGCAGTACAAATTATAGTACAGTTAATGTTAAATAAAAAAAAAATTCAAAATTCAAACATAGAGGTGCCAGGGTAATCTACCTAAATAAACCATTTATAAATATAAAATATATATGTTTTTTAAATAATTATTTAATACTATACTACCTATTTATATTTAAAATAATGGTTTTTCGATTTCCGCCCGAAACAAAAGGCGTACAAATGTTAATATCGCGCGTACANAGGCCTCGCGTTTGTCCCCAATAAAGACACTCATAAGTAAATTGGTAATACAAAATACGTGAATTAAGAATATCAAATCAATAAATCATATTATCTATTGGTATTAAAATTAAATATTTACATATTATTACGTGTGACGTGTTTTTGCAGTGAAAACCATTTTATTTAGGCAGTGCATTATACACGTACGTCACACCAGCCCCCCCATATTCAAAATAATGAAATTTTATTATTCTATCCTTTAGTATGATATTTGTACGAATTTGTAAGCAGTAGTACATAATTTGTACGACCAAAGGGGCTCAGATATATCAAAAATCTTTCGGGGGGCTGGCGTGACGTCACGCCAGCCCCCCGAAAGATTTTTGATATATCTGAGCCCCTTTGGTCGTACAAATTATGTACTACTGCTTACAAATTCGTACAAATATCATACTAAAGGTTAGAATAATAAAATTTCATTATTTTGAATATGGGGGGGCTGGTGTGACGTACGTGTATAATGCACTGCCTAAATAAAATGGTTTTCACTGCAAAAACACGTCACACGTAATAATATGTAAATATTTAATTTTAATACCAATAGATAATATGATTTATTGATTTGATATTCTTAATTCACGTATTTTGTATTACCAATTTACTTATGAGTGTCTTTATTGGGGACAAACGCGAGGCCTTGATAATATTCTTAAAAGCGCGAGGCCCTGGACAAATGTCCCACTTGCCCTACCCTAGCACCGTCCCTGGATATCGAATACTGACTTTGAAACAACAACTGGAATCATATTGTACCTATTGCGACGTGTTCTTTTTGATATAGACGATTTCTGCTGAGTATTTCTTAAAACGTATATAAATAAATACAGGGCCGGAGTCAGACCGGTTTTCTCGGGTCATTTGTCCGGGGCCCGAACCTAAACATATTTTTGAGGGGCCCGGGTCCATAAAAAAAAAATTTAAATCATGACCGGCCCGGGTCTATAAAAATTTTAAATTTTAACGGGCCCCAGCTAAAGCTTAAGTAACGATCAATGGGCACTGCCATTTTATTGAACATTTAATCATAATATATTAATATTGTGTAATAGCATAATACTAGTATTAATAGCGACCAAAATACTTATATTCTTTATCTTATCGGCGCGCGGCGCGGCGTCATGACGGTCACGGGTATTCTTCTATAAATATAATTTATCGGCCGAAATTCACGAAAACAATTTGGCTTGATTTTTAGTAGGTTGTCGACAAGAAAATACACTGTATTTTTCTGGGTATTTCACATTATGTAATAATTTTATGATATAAGCACGCTTGGTTATCAGTTTATTTCTTATTTTCATTGTCATTGTCATATCAAATTCAGTCATATGACAGAGTTTGTGGCGACTTAATCGACTTATGTTTATATCCGACCGTTGAATTTTAAAAGTGACGATATGTCGATATGAGTGCTTATAAACATAAATCGGGGTTTCAAAAAAGAAAAGAAAAAGAAATTCGGGAGATAGAAGCATCCAAAGGACAAACGTCTCTAAATAAATACATTCAATCTGCAAATTATAGAAATAGTTCGACAGTAAATCAACCTTCTTGTGAAACTATGATTGAAAGTGAGTACTGAATATTAAAAAATGAGCGTTTAAATGGTATTAAAACGCTTATGGATTATTAAAAAGGTAATTTTTTTTGGCGCTTATGAGTTATGGGTTATTTATTTTTGCGCTTTTGGGTTGCGTTTGGGTCATTTTTTGCGCTTATGGGCTACACCCTTATTTTTTTTTAAATAATTTGTACCTACATATTTTGATTTCATTAATATTTTATTAGGGATTACTGAATGTCAACCTTCTACTTCTACAACTGCTTGTCCCAAATGTCCCGACTCAACCCTTCAATCACTTTCTTTCTCAGTTAATGAAACAGCAGTAACCTTGCCTATGTCCTTACCTACACAAACGAACATAACGTCATCGTCTAAATTGGAGACTGCTGAATCTAGACAGTTGGAACTGTCACCTTTATCTGTTGAAAATAAAAATATTTTGGTGATGTCGTCTAATACGAATAGATATTTTGACATTGGATCAATCAACTTTAATATTGATATAGACATTAAAAAATCACATGAAAAACTACCTGCTACTTTTCCTGAGGACTCCCAAGGATTTTCAATGCCAACCACCATTTTTAAGAAAAAACTAGCAAATGGAGAATGTGTAGATAGAGACTGGTTAGTTTGGAGTAAGGAAAGAGCGGCTTTGTTCTGTTTGCCATGTAAAATATTCAGCCCACATATGACTAAGCTTTCAATTCTGGCTTCGGAAGAGGGTTGGTCTGCAACAGGTAATTGGAGGAAACTTCATGCAAGAATTCCTGAACACGAGAAAAGTGAATCTCACAAGTCGTGTTATTTCCATTGGAAAACAGAACAACTTAAGCACCAAAAAGAAAAATCTTTAAGTGACCTCATGGCCAAAACTATCAAACATGAACAAGAAGTGTTGCGTGGCCTTCTTCGACGACTTATCAGCGGAATGTCGAAGGGATGTGAAAGGACTTAAAACATATTTACAATCTTTTGACTGTTTGATTTTGGCGTCCATTTGGTTTAAAATCCTGAAAACAATTGATCTCGTGAACAGAGTAATTCAAGCACGCGGAGAAACTATTGACATAGTCAGTAAAAACTTACAGAATCTAGTGAATGAACTTCAAAGTATAAGGAATGAAAGCTGTGAAAAAATCTGGAGTGAAACTACAATCGTTGCTGAAAACATTGGTTGGTCAGACAAATTAATTGATCAATCAAAGAGGGTGAAAAAACGAAAGAGAATGGTCGATGAGGAAGGCATAGAAGAATACACATCGGAAACAATTGATCCACAGTTGCTTTTCAAAAGAAATGTATTTTATGTCATTTTGGATGAAGTAATTGCAGATATAAACAAACGATTTGAATCATTGAAAACACTTATTGATATTTTCTCAGTTCTTTGGGAGTTTAAAGATATGACAGAAAGTGAAATAAAATTAAAATCTAGAAATCTGGTTTTGAAGTATAATGATGATTTACAAGAAGATTTAGTAGATGAGCTACAAAGTCTTAAAATAGTTTATGCTACTAACTTTGGACATAAACAACTAAACCCCTTAGAACTGCTGAATCATTTGCACAAAACTAATCTTGCAAACATGTTCCCTAATTTATGTATTGCATTACGAATCTTTTTGACGATTCCCGCAACTGTTGCGAGTGCGGAACGATCTTTCTCGACATTGAAGAGAGTGAAGAATGTACTACGATCAACAATGACACAACAGAGACTCTCAAGCTTAGGTGTTTTAGCAGTGGAGGCTCAACTTGCAAAGACGATTGACATGGATGAGGCAATTGATGACTTCGCAGTAAGAAAGGCAAGAAAAAAAACCATAGGAAAATTTTAAATTTAAGGTTTTAACTATATAAGAATTATTTGTAATCTAAGATAACACTAATAATACCTATATCTTTCAATATTCATTTAAATAAATATAAGTTATGGTTATATATATTATTATGTCGTTTTGTATATTATTATCATTCATGTATTTGAGTATTTAAATTTTCTTTGAAAAAGTTTCAATATTATTTTAGATAAAAATAAAATATTTAAAAATAGCATAGTTGCAATAATATTTGATGTCAAAACAATTTAATTATTAGTTTTATAGATAATTAGACAAATTTTTCCTATGAAAACTAGGAAAACCCCTTTATAAAAATAGGGGGCCCTGAAGGTTTAGTTTGTCCGGGGCTCGCCAAAGCTGAGTACGGCCCTGAATAAATATAACAACTTAACAAAACATGAATCACGGATGTCATTAACGTTTATATGATCGTTACAACACATATTGGAAAACTGAGGTTATAACTTGCTCAAGTTCTGTTATATATTAATCTGATTATATTAAAATTAGTATAAAAAACTAATGTGAACTTGAAATCAAATCAAATAACGTGTAGAGAGGGGGTTAATATACTTACCTGATCCGTTGAACCTGTAAATTACATTTTAAACCCAGAATATTCAATTAAAACATGACGCGTTATTTCACTAGACAACAAGTTCACAGGGTATAAAATCAAATACAAACACATTTAAGTCTATAAATTCAATATTTATTTCGTAATGCGTGCACAAAATTTTTAAATATAATTAATGTAAGTAAACTAACAAGTGGTGTCATATGATTTAGACTCATTACAATCGCAAACATGACCTGCTTTTACATATTCGTTTTTTACATTTTCTATAAATTCATTTCCCTTACATAGTAAAACAAATATACATTTAGGATTCCATTTTGCATGTTCAACCCACGGTATGTCATCATTTGTCCATTTTTGTAAAACAAGTCCACAGAAAAAACATTCAACTATATCTCCTACTCCTGTATATCTGAAACCAGATTCAGATAATGTATATTTATTTTGACACGAAGTGGATGGAAAAGAATTATATGATTTTAATCTCGATAAAAATGTTGTAGAATCTGAATAGACTGGATATGAATTATTTCGCACCAAATAAACTAAAGATGGAAAATCGATTGAAAATTTCTGTAAATTCATGGTTTTTGATAAAACTGAAAATATTTAATCGTAAAAATCAATAAGATAATTTGTCTGAAAAATAAAAAATAAAACACAACTTGATTGATCAACGGTTCATTAAAAACTAACTAAATATTTTAAATTAATTATGTATTATTTAACATCATGTCTGGCAATTAATAATGTAACTGGTTAAACAACGTCTGTGAAGTTGGCCCCCCCACTATGTCCAATCGACATCAGACCAATTTCAATATTCAGTAACCTTTTAGTAACTAATTGTAACCGACATCGAACAATTTGTAACCAAATAGTTTCGGAGAAAACTCAATTTCCATTTGGGGGGGCTAACTTCACGTAGCCCCCCCGACATTTTCCTATCGAATCCGGACCTATCCCAAAATTTAGTAACCTTTTAGTAACTAATTGTAACCGACATCAAACAATTTGTAACCAAACAGTTTCCGAGAAAACTCAATTTTCATTTGGGGGGGCTAACTTCACGCAGCCCCCCCACTTTGTCCTATCGAATCCGGACCTATCCCAAAATCTAGTAACCTTTTAGTAACTAATTGTAACCGACATCAAACAATTTGTAACCAAACAGTTTCCGCAAGAAAACTCAATTTTCATTTCGGGGGTTAATATTTTATGAACTTACAATTTTTGATACATAGGTACCGTTTTGACAATATTCCAATTATATTTGACTTCAAACATACGTTTATGAAGATGTTTGATGAAAATGTTAACCTAGAATATTTGATACGCAACGAATATATAAATATAAATATTTTTAATTTGCTATTATGGATAAACTATAATTCCTTAAAAAGGAATTTCATAGTAGTTACCTATAAAAATTCCAAAGTTCGTCACAAAAAGAAAATTATGTGTAAGTACCTTTAATTATTATGGTTTATCATGTGCAACTGACTCACAATACTTTTTATTTACCTCACAAAAGTATTTTCCTCAAAGGAAAAACCAGAATTGGATACTTACATAGTGTCTCCAATTGAATTTATTTCAATTTGTTTACGATATAAATTTTAGGACATAATAATATATTTAGCAGGTAACTTTTCAAAATTGTTACTAACTATTATTTGTAATCTTAATAAAATATAATATGGAACTAAAATAATATTTTGACTACTTATATTTGTTATCTACTTTAAGTCATATTGCTGTGTATGGTTTTATTTAAAAACAATTACATGAATGAAATGTAAAATAAAATAAAAAATAAAATAAAGTATTATAACTTACTTTAAGTGTAAAATAATAAATCTTTAATATTTTTTTTGTAAAGAAATTAAAAACAAAACAAAATAAAATAAAATATTAGAACTGTAGGTAAGTGTAAAATATTAAATCCTCAATTTTTTTATAAAAATCTTAAAAATTAATTTTTTATGTATACAACTAGATGGGGTCTTACTAGCATAGTGTCTGAGTGAAATCTTTTGATTTTTTTTTGCAAATCATTATGTGTTTCCCATACGTTGGTTGATCTTTTGATGTGTGAAACATAGTGATCTGAATGATACGCTACCAATCCAAAAAATGTGAAGCTATATAAAAAAAACATGATTTATTTTTTATTAGTGGTGTGTGTTACACGTTTTTGGTTAACTAACTAATACTGTTATACATAATATTATGTATACTCACTTGACATCATTAATCTTTATCTCCGATGGAAACTCTGAAAGATAAAACATACTCTCTTCCTGATACATATCTGTTTCGATGAAAATGTGGTCCATTAGTATTTTAGTAGATGAAATTGATCCACCACAATGTCCACAATCATATGTTTGTAATGAAATGTAATTATTTAGAGCTTCTTGTAGATCTTTGAAACCATTGTTAGTATAGCGAAGAATAATTGTCATGTTGGTAATTTGTTTGTGTTTATTTATACAGTTGTTATCTGAACATTTAATATTTTCAATCGTAGATGGAACGTCTTTTAGCAGCTTAGTAACAATAAATGATACATTACAACGTGCGTCTATTATTTTTAAATTCGAAATGCTCTTTGACTCATCGAAAATGTTTTTCAGAATAATTAACCGTTCTTTATAGGTATTTGTTGTTGAACCATATAAGGCTAATTTTTTACAGAAATTAAGCATATGGTTTTCGCTGGAATCTATAAAGTGTCTATACGACTGAAAATCTATGTATGCCATAGCTATTATGGCAACGACTGCATCCATTGGACATGTATTGAGAACTAGATATTTGTTTTTTGCCATGCGCAATGGTGTTCCAATATTTCCATTTATCAATAAAGAGTTCAAATTTGATCGAGTACTTTTCTTATTTAAAAACCTTTCAATATCTGGATTTGGATCCATGTACTTTTGAAATCTTTTTTTGATAATTCGATCTTTAGATTTCGGTAGTTTAGGATCTTCTGAATTACCCTTCCCACGCCAATTTTCAGTCGCTTTTAGTGAATTGGAAGAAACCGAAGATTCATCACTATAATATTCATCTACAGTTGAATTGTGATCTACAATATATTCGTTTAGTTTTTTTCCTTTGTACCAATTGTCTGCTTCATCACAAGAACTAGTTTGTAAAAAACTTTTGTTTGTGTTATTTTCTTCATTTGAGTTATATTCATCTGTAATCGGGTCTTGTTTTTTCTCCTCGTTACAATACATTGACCCGTCTCTTGATTTTGATGATTTGGTTTTTTCATTTTTGTTACTGAGTTCATCTGAAGATTCAGAAGAAATATTTTCTTTTATTTTCGATATTTTCTTTGAATTCAAATCTTGACATTGCGTAGTCTTGTATAGGTTTCTTAACTGACTGCTTCTAAATTACTTGCTGCTCCCTTCTAAAGCATTCAAGTGCTTCGCAACAAATCGGTCAGCAGTCATTGGCTGTAAATCGAACTTCAAGATTCTCTTTTTTAATTCAGCAAAGTCACTTTCAACCGGCGCGGAAGTTGCAATAAAATTTGGTGAATTGAATTTACTGACCATTACTCCACTCCAAAGTGGAAAATATCTAGACAGACGTAATATAACAGATGGCAATCCTGGTAAAAAAAAAGCCGAAATACGATTGCCTTGTACTTTTGATTTTCTATCAGCATCCATCTCGATTTCTCTTAAATATTCATCAATTGCATTGTTTGTTTCTTCAGTAACTTCTTGATCATCATTTTCATTTAAGTTATCATCATCCGTATCAACATTATCTGCATAATCTTCTACTATTTTATTTTTTATTTTTTCAAGCAACAAGAGTCTACTAGATTCTGCTGGAGTGTCGATGTTATCTTTAACCCAGCCATCTGTTTCAGATTTTGCAACAATTAACAAGGCAGTTAATATTTCGCTAAATTCATTTAGTGTCGACGAAGTTAAAATTAATCGTAAGCAGCTAACATAAAACGTTTTTAGTTTTTTATTTTGAATGCCCTTAAAGTATGGAATTCGACAAAATAGTTTTATCATATGCGCTACGTCAATTCTTATATAGCATTGTGGTAATATTTCGTTTTTTCCAACTAAAATATCAAAACATCTCTCAGTGTAATCTCGCATGCTGCTGTTATTAAATGCTCTTGTCAAAGCTCCTATAAGAGCAGTTGAAAAATCGCAAACAACCTCATTAGGTACTTTTATACCACATAGTAACCATTGTGTAAGCCAATTTTGAATAGTTTGAGTGTCCTGTTTTTCGGAAAGCATTTGGGTTATAGGAATTTGGCCATAAGACGTGTGAACAACTGCTTCATATAAAAATATATGTGCTGATAATAAGTTCAATGATGTACGTTTGATTTTTTTTATAAGACTACCAGTAGCATCAACTGAAATACTGCAGTACTCTTTGGTTAAATCTTTATAAATTACTACTTGATGATTGCTCCAATAATGTACAAGAAATGGGTCGATGCCAATGGAGCGAATTGACCCAGCAAACTGTGTATGTTTCAGCTCAACTAATGATAAAATTGGACACTTTAAATATATACCCAATGTATAGTCCTTATACTCTTGTTTAGCTTTTCTTAGAACACTAGAATGATATAAATTAGGAGGAGATATGGAACCAAACTCCATATTTGATGCTTGACTGCGTCTCCAATTACTTGCTAATTCTGTTGTTAGCTGACTACCTATTAATTTCCTTTTTTCTCCTTTTAGTTGTCTTTTGCTATTATGCTCTAAATCATGTCCACGGGTATCAGAAGTTCTAATTTCTAGTTTAAGTGGGTGGCCTTTTATTGGTTCATCGTGGCTCCAACCGTGTAAATTGTTGTTGCAATCTTTGCATTTTGCTTCGAAGTGAATAAAGTATTGACTATTTGCCGAATTTATTCTCACTTTACATCTTTTGTACACAAAATTGCAAGGCAATTTGTACTCAAGTAAAAAAGCATCATTTACAACATCACTCCATGTGTTTTTTTTCATAACATTGTAGGATCTGGTGGTAGAATTTTTTTTATATTGCACAATTTTTGGTTCCATTTCAATATATTTTTCGTATGGTATTTCAAGAACAAACATTTTTTCACCATCACTTATTATATTTTTTTCACTGCCATCATTACTTTCAACTGAATTAGATTCATATTCATCCACTTCAGCGTTATTATTCAATTTCAATAATTTTTTAAGATCAGTTTGAAAGTTGTATCGATTCTGATAAACATAAATATATAAGTTTTTTTTGGGAACTTTATTCTTTAGCTCCTTTGACAGGGTATCCCATATTTTATGAGTCAATCCTCTCAGCACACCATTATCGAATAATTCTGATTTATACTGGTCAAGAACACAAAAAATTTCTTCAGATGAAACTAATGCCTTTCTTCCTTTCTTAGGCTGCAAAAATATTGATAATATGTAGAATAATTACGTACATACGCTACTAAAAAACTAATACATTCAATTAAAATAATTTTGAATTCCAGAGCTGTAAAGAATACTTTTAAAAAGTATTTGAGTAAGTAAAAAATATATTGTTGAAAAAAATATTTAAAGTAATATTCAAATACTTATTTATCCAACGTATTTGAGTATTACTCAAATACTTTAAAAATGTATTTGAAATACTTTTCAAATACTTATAAAAAAAAAAAATATGTACAATTTATTCATCATTTTATTATTATTTATTATTGCATTGATTATTACATTTTAAAAACATTATTTGTTCAAAATGCTTGTCACTAATGGATGTTCTCTTTTTTGTTAACGTAGCTCCTCCTACACTAAATACCCTTTCAACCGAAGCACTGCTGGGGAGAGGTGTATTGTATTTAATAAATACCTGTCAACAGAAATAAAAAATTAATTAAATTTATCATATTTATCATAAGAACCAAAAAAAATGTATATGTACTTTTTTAAGTATAGGAAGTGATTGCAAACAATCCAAGTTTTTTGTTGGCGAAGTCCTAAAATAATGATTAATTTCAATATCTACCGAATCTATACCATTCATATTGTTTGAAGAAGACCACGTAAAAAAGTCCAATGATGGTTCATCATAACTTTCTACAATATTAGGTTCTTGAGTATTGGAAACACACTCTTTTTCATATATTTGTAAACAAGCATTTCTAAATGCATCCATAGCCATTTGCTTTCTTACATCATTTTTAATCCATGCCACTTTAAAATAAGGATTACTCACTGATGCAATAATTAAAAACTTATTTTGTAATAAATCCCCAAATCTTTTATTAATGCCTGAAAGATAAATTATTTTGGTATTAACTTAGTATAGAAACTAACTTAAACTAACTTTACTGTTAAAATTAAACATACCAGTAAGCAAAGCAGACACAAGAGGTTGTATACTTTTAGAAATGGTATCATCTCGAGACATAAGTGTAAATTTTGAAGAGAGTTCTTCAATTGTTGGCAGTAAAAATCCAAAGTTCATATGTTTGTCTCCTTGAAGCATGTCCAGACTTATGGAAATTGGTTGTAATACTTTTTCATAATTTCCCAAAAACTCAATATCGTTTTTGTTAAACCTAGGTATTAAAATATATTAAATATATATTATTATGAGAAATAACAATTAAAATTATTT